AGCCTGCCTGCCCTCCTCCCTGGGCACCATGGACGCCAACGCCACCTCGGACGACAACGCCACATCGGACGCCAACGCCGTCGAGTCGGAAGACAACCCGGAGTTGCAGGTGCTCCGGGATGTTGTATATCACTACGTCATGCCGGTGCTAATTATCACAGGTGTGCTGACCAACGTGATCAACATCCTGACGCTCTGGAAGGTCAACCAACTCCAGAAGCAGCAGCAGAACCGTCAAGCGCAGACGACCACGTACCGATACCTCTTCTGGCTGGCGATTGCCGACATGATGGCCTCCCTCTCCCTGGTGTTCGCGATTGTGTTTCTTGAAAGGGGAGAACTGCCCTATGGATGGGCGTTCTACTACGCCCACTTTGAAACTCCGTTGATGAACGGGCTGACGAGTGCCAGCGTCTACATCGTGGTGGGGCTGTCAGTGGACCGCTACATCGCCGTGTGCCACCCCAGGCGCTACATCGAGCTCAGCGCGCCTCGCTTGGCTGTAATCAGGATATTATGCTCATTCCTGGTCCCCGTGGCACTGTATCTTCCGCAGGGCTTCTTCATGGAGGTCGTGTGTGCCGCATCCGGAGCTGGCTGGACGTACCAGTCGACCAAAACCAACGAGTCAGCAAAGCAGTACTATGAACTCTTCGTGGAGCTCTGTCACCGCATTTTCCCGGCCATCATCCTAGCTGTGCTCAACAGCTGCATCATTTACACCTTCCACAAGACGACGGCGAAGCGCAACCAGATGAAGAGCAAGCTGCAGGTGTCCGTGCAGCTCAGTTCGGCCAGCAAGAGGAGCGAGGACCAGAGCAGACGGCACCAGGAGCAGAGGCTCGTCTACCTCCTGGTGGCCATTGTCGTGAGTTTCTTGGCGACTACTCTGCCCGCTGCAGTGCTGGCCCTCATTGACATAGACGGCGCCACTTACGGCTCTTTTGGCCTTGAAGTAAGTTAATCTACTTTCACTGCAGATAACGATAAGATATACAGAGTTGTTGCTAAGAAATTTAATGCAACCCCTATTTCGCGATTTTCATATTTCCTTACCAAATAAACAGTATTTTCCATTCCTTACTGATCAAATATCCAACAGGTGTTTCGCGCGTTAGCCAATTGCCTGGAGGCCTTCGGGCTGTCCCTGAACTTCGTGCTGTACTTCGTGTTCGTGAGCGGCGTGAGGGAGGTGCTCAAGAACGCCGTGTGTGGCTTGGCTGCCCACGCGAAGGTAGACAGGGGATGCTCTCACTCTTCCAACAGCAACTCAAAGAACACAGAAAGCGTCGAACTGTAAACTCACACACTTACAGGAACATGTAAACAAAAGTAGAAACAACAGCAACAAAAATAATTCTCCCAACTTCTGGTGTTTATACTGCAAACTTCGTGGATTTCTACATAACTATATTTTCAATGAGTCATGTCAAAGTCATTTTTGTTGTTTCAGTACGACGTACTAACTGCTGCAAACAAGGATCAAATAAGGATGTCATTTACAAAAGAAAGATAAATATTCACGGTAAGCAAGCCAAATTGTAGACAGAGAGAAGGAGAGGAAGAGAGAGAGAGAGGGGTGGGGAGAGAACGAGAGAGAGAGGGGGGAGAACGAGAGAGAGGGGGGGAGAGAACGAGAGAGAGGGGGGGGGAGAACGAGAGACAGAGAGAGACAAACAGACAGAGAGAGGGAGGGAAGAATGAAGAGAGAGAGAAAAAAAAACCAGACAGGCAGAGAGAGGAAGGGAAGAAGGAAGAGAGAGAGAGAAACAGACAGACAGAGAGAGGAAGGGAAGAAGGAAGAGAGAGAGAAAAAAAAACAGACAGAGAGAGGAAGGGAAGAAGGAAGAGAGAGAGAGGGGGGGGGAAGGGATAGAAAGAGAGAGAAGGGAAGGAGGAGGGAAAGAGAGAGAAGGAGAGGGGAGGGAGGGAAAGAGAGGGAAGGAGGGAGGGAAAGAGAGAGATGGGGTATATAGCTAGGTAGCGAGCTAGATAGGTCAATGTGGAATGCCAAAGGGAGAAAGGGAGACTTTTTCACACCGCATGAAGTAAGATTAAACCAAAGAGCTGCAAATGCTAGCTCCCTCCACGTGTCTTGCAGGCAACCGACCACCGAGCACGCACTCCAGGTCCCCGATACCTGGTGACCAAACTACCCCCTTATCCAAGAACGCAGGATGATGGCGAATTGGGCTGCAGACGAGTATAGCCAATCAAATGTTTAAAAAAATATTGGTGTTGTAGTTTTTTCTCGTTAAATCATAAGAAGTTCAAGTGCCAGGTATAAAGGGCATTCCACTTTTTCTCGTTGTTATGCTCGCTGAAAATAATGTCTAGTCGGTGTTATAGTGCGTAATATTTAACAGTATTTGTCTACAAATAAACAAGTCAAAGGATAGTGATACATCTTTATTCCGATAATAGCTCATATTCCCATATATGTAATTGTACATTAGAGAAAGGCTGTGCATTAAGGCTTAATTATTACCTTAAACATAGC